TTTAGTTTTATAATTCATTTGTATTAATATATAATAACTGAAGATTTTTTTTTAACGATATAATACTTAGTCCTATAATTGGGGATTAAAATTATTTTTGCTTGTGATAGGTCAGTTCTTAAAAAAGGTTATAGTCTATTAAACATCACGGTACAGTTAAGGAGCTTAGTAATAAATATAACTCAGAAAAAAGGTCAAACGAAAAAGTAGTAACTGCGAGGGGATGTATTGCCATGAGGTAGGTCCGTAGATGGGGTAGCCAACATTTATTTGAAATATAATAATAGCACTTTCGAATAGTCATATTTTTTATTCTACTACTCGAAAAAAATTCGAAACGAGCAAGAAACTTGTGTGTTGCTCTTTTGAATAGATGTTTTTTTTATATAAATAATTACACAATAACAAGTAAGAGGCATGCGATAATCAACATAGAAACTGCAACGTACTCATTCGCGCTATAATTTTAAGTTTTTCTATAAAAATATTATTATCGTTAATGAAATCTTCAATATTATAATATGCTTTTAAATCAAAAGGCAAGTGAATCCTTACGACTATTTCACTAGTTAATGAGAATTTGTGCTAACTGAAAATGTTAAATTAATTCATATACCTACATCATGTTTATCAAATACACTACATGTCAATTACAGTCGTATTCAATTAAGACTTTGACTTGTGTTTTCAATGTAAAATATATCAGACTAGCGACCAGCACCAACTTCGTTTGGGTGGACATTTTGGGTTACTTTATTAAAGTTTTATAATGAATCCCTATTTTTTTCTAGTTATAAATAGAACGCATGTTACTCAGGGATCGTGCAGCAATGTAATGGTTATAGATTTTTTTAAATAAATCCAGTAATTTTTGAGTTTATTAACAACAAACATGTTCAAGTACAAATCTTTCTTCTTTATAATATTAGTGTAAACGACTGTACTGTAGTGTTACTTACGACTTCTCCAGCTTTTTTTACATAAAAGAAAGCCTATATCACTAGGATTGCCTTGATCTAATCTTTTTATTTATATTTTGTCAAGTTCATATATACGGGCGACTATTGCTACTCCTATAGGTGGGGAATCAGCATATTTACTATTCCAGTTATTAAAAAAAAACATAACCTTATATTGAAATGTTCTGAAAATCGTAAAATTTCTAATAATATTGAACTATGTATATTGATATTAATTATGATACTCGAATTACCGCATTAAATAATTAGGAAGAGGTTACGAAAACCGAATTATCTCGTACTCGGCTTGGTAATCGATCAACACTACAACTGTGTATATTCAACTATATGTGTATAGTGTGAAAGTTCACGTTTGAGCTAATCATATACGTTACGATTAATCGCTACGATAGCTTTATGAAATTAAAAGAACATTCCGTATATTTGAACCAGCATTAAAGAGATATCATAATAATGGGTTTAGATTACTATTAGAACGAGATTCATTTCGAGTTTTCTATCTCTGACATTCTTACGTTTGTGTTGTTTCCTCAGTGGTAATAGAGGCCACTAATGATAATGGAATAAAAAAGTGGTGTAACGAATTGTATTCTTATTTAGTTGCATGTAATTCAATTACTGAAAATTATCAATGAAGATGAAATATCGATTTTGAGGCAAAGCCTCAAGTTTTTTTTTCCCAATTTTTGTAATTTTTATTTATTTTACATTTCAAATTATTCAGCTTATAATAAAATTTAGGTATTATATGATCCTGTGTAGGGTAGATAGAGAAAAATATAGACTATTTTTATCGAGGTCTATCAAAAGACATAGGCCGACAGACGATGGTAACATAATTGTGGATATTTTCAACGTAGCAATACATTAATTACTATTCAATAGTCGCTTTATCGTACCGTAAATGGCCCGCTTTATCGTCTTTAGCAAACTCAATAAGGATGATCGGCCCAGCTCTATTTAATTAACTATTATAATTTAGTAAAGTGAAGGATTTCATTTGATATATCAGGTGTTTGTAAACGTACCGCTAATAATTTAAATTAAATTAAGATTTAATTACTAACACTACGACTTCAAAGTACACAAAATCGTTAGAATTAAATAACTGCAAATGGATAACCTGATTTATATGTAAATTGCTTCAGATTAAAATAATTCCTACATAGATTTTTTTAAGAAAATTGAAATTGCTAACATTTAAACATGACACATTACTGCCCATTTAGTAATTGAGAAAGTCCATTTAAAATAATAAAATATATAATGTCACAAATAAGATAATATTACATACTAATATTATAAAGAGAGAGAACGGTTTTTGTTAGCGGGACATAAAGACCGGAATCATAAAACTCGGACGAGATTTTTTTAAATTCTTACACTATTTGTAAGATATGTTATTCCACAGTTACTAAGCCTAAAATATCTTATGTTAATATGTAGAATATATAGAACTTTAAAACAGCCTAGCAAACCCGGGGTAGGCCACCAATTCTCAACAGCTCAACTTCTCTTTGACGGCTAATTTTAACCTTGTCTAAGTTAGATATTTTTGTCACAAAGAAGCTCAATTTATAATATCTTTTTCGATTGAAGGGTGACAGGAAACGAAATTACAGGTTATACGGAGGTATGACATTATATTTCTTTGAAATGACGCATGTGATATCACGTATATCAAATGATAACGTGATGTCCATACTACTGTGTATGGACAATATAGGTACATTATATATACTTGTTTGGCTTTCAATCAAATAAAAACTACATACCGTTATATAAATGTCCTATAATTTGTCATGACAAAAGCTAATTAAACAAACATATAAATGAAGGTTTGATAATTACTCATGAAGCGTAAACTAACCGGCCAGGGAGCATGGGAATTAACTTGACCGCACGTGTAAACACAAACGTTTGCTTTGAACAGAATTATTTGCGCTACGAATACAACCTGAACGTGTTTGTTTACAAAAAAATAATCCTCATAATACGGTTTGTTAGTTCCAAAAGGCTTTAACATTATATTATACGGAATCTTAAAAATGTAAAGTAAAACAATAATTAAAAAAAGCAACAGGGAAGTGTTTTCATTCTCCTTGGTTGAATTTGTATTCCGAATGAGTGGTAAGATAAAAAAAGGACTATTTTAAAGCGACTATATTAAATTAATTTGAATAAGGTTTATTTTTGTTTATATTTTAAAATATATGTTTAAACCTAAATAAGGTACATTATCAAATGTCACCAAAGTAGAGAACTGTACACTTGACATGACCATATATCGCTAAATATATATTCTAATACAGCGTGGTAGGTCAGGGGTGAACTATTCTAGTGACCTATCTGGCACTAGATATATATACGAATTTCTAAACCCGGCTTGCCGAGCTGCTTCAGTTTTAGCCAATATAGTAGAATAGAAGAAAAATAAAAACAATCATAATTTGAAATTAATTTTAATTTTTTAAGAATTTTTAATGCCTTCATATTTGTAGTGTTCCCTCTTATTAAATCCTCTAAGTTAGGGTCCTCTACATCCTTACAATACCGTATTTAAGATAGTAAATAATGTTAGTTCATTTAAAAAAATACTGATATAAACAAAAAAGAAATCCAAAGTACAATGTATATCTATAATGGTCACGAATAAGTACATATGTTCTGACGGTTCAATCTATGAGCGGAATTACGCAAAATGAAACAGATTTAATGGACCGTACATCTCTATACGGTTCCTATGGAACTCCTTTAAGTCTTGAGCTGATATATGGGAAAGATAAACTAGTACTTGTGAGATCATAATATAATAATAAACGAGATCTACATTGATCGTATATTTAATACGTATGATAACAGTAATGTAAATATACAAATATTATTTTTAAAAGTTCTCGTTGATAAACAATTATTCAATCGAAATATAGAATACAAAATAGAAAATGTATGTAAATATATTATGACATTAGAATAAACATATAAATAGAAATAAAAATATGTAGAAACTACTGCTTGCAATTAAAAACTACTGCTTTCTATGCAGATAAAAGAAACAAATATGTATGCGCCGAGAATATATATATACTCGTATAACAAAATTAATGTATAGATATATTTCATAAGATTGCAAAAGTATTTATAGATATAAATGTTCAAATAGTGTTTTTTAACGCAAACAAATTGATAATTTATCTTAATATAAACGTATACATATTATATATATATGTGTAAGTTTACATTAAGACGTTAAAGTTTAACAAAAAAGACATTCTGTATAATTTCTATATAAATGTAACTGGCATACAAAAATGTGCGTTGCCATATTTGTAAAAACATAATAAAAAAAGAAAGATAAAAAAAAAGAATATAATTCAAAATTATCAGAGACATTAACGCAACATTGTATTTTTATTTCATAACAATTAAATATCTATCAACCATCCCTCAAATCCTCGATTCAGGTTTAAACATGGTCCTTCAGTACGCCGGATATTGAATATTAAGTTTTACTTATATATTAACAAATTGAACCGCCGCGCAAGCCGAAGTGGTCCGCTAGCAAACAAAGAACAAAATTAGCAGCAGGAGCAGTGAATTCAAGGTGCTTCTGCAGACGGTGCCGGGAGTCGTCATCATCAGGAAACCAGGAACGAGGAAGGTGTGCTGTGGAATGGAATACGCCACAAGCTACAAATACTAATTCATTGAGGTGATTGGTTTACAAGTAAACTGATGTGTTTTACGCACTTCACGAAGTTGCAACATTAAATTCGCTATAATATTATATTAATATATAATATTATCCACTTATTTTAATTAATATATGCTTACTATATTAGAAAATTTATGTGCAGAAGTAATAATCAACTTATGAATGCAGAAATAATATAGTTCATTGTAACATTGAAATTTTGTTCAAGTGACTATTTCAAATTGGTAATAATAAGAGTATTGTATATTTAGTAAACCATTATAACTTTAGGTAGATATTATAAATATTAATTAACTACTTATAAAATGGATTCTTTAGTAAATGTACAATTAGATATTCAAAATAGAATGTCTAGGGCGAGGCAAAATTACAAAAAGTCTCCTAAGGACAGAGTAACTGAACAATATGTTGAAATTAGATTGGAATCATTAGAACAATTATGGTCTCAATTTAATGAGACTCACCGTGACATTGTGAAGTTATGGCAGGGTGAAGAATGTTCATATTTTGCGGATGACATAATTGAAGCTGTAGAGGAATTATATATAGATTACAAAACCGAACTGAAATATTCACTCGCCTCCTTGCAGAGTACAAATCGAGTGGTATCAAATAATTGTACTCATAGTCCGGCATCAACAAGTAACATTCAGATGCCGCGTATTGTAATTCCATATTTTTCAGGCCTATATACGGAATGGGTTACATTTAGAGATTTGTATATTTCCCTTGTGCATACAAACGATCAACTTGACAATGTACAAAAAATGCATTATTTGAAAGCTTATCTAACTGGTGAAGCGGAACAGCTTCTCAGACATATACCAATTGCAGATGTAAATTATGAACGATGTTGGATGTTACTTAATAATAGATACAATAATAAAAAATATTTGTCACATACTATATTAAAACGATTATTAAGTCAAAAGAATATTGCTTATGAATCATCCAGTGGTTTAAAAAATCTAATGGATACTACAAACGATTGCTTAATTTCATTAACTACTCTTGGTATAGATGTCAGTACTTGGGATGCTATTGTTATCCATATACTTACTTTAAAGCTTGATACAGAGTCTAGGAAACAATGGGAAATTAATATAACTAATATTAATTCTTCGGAGGAGTTACCTACCTTCAGTCAGTTTAATGAATTTATCACCAAACGTTATCGAGCTCTCGAGTTCCTGGATTCTAAATCAACAACTGTAACAGATAATAAACTTAAAACTATGCATGTGTTACATAACAATCAGTGTACTTTCTGTTCTGGAAATCATAAAATATCTTTATGTAAAAACTTTGCAAATCAAAATGTAAACTCTCGTCGCAACTTTGTCCAAAACAATAACATATGTTTTAACTGTCTGGGGAATAATCATTCTGCTGTATCCTGTAAAAGTATTAATAGATGTCGTATATGTAAAAAGCAACACCACTCATTACTGCACCCTAATAATGTAGACACTTCCGATTCTAGTGGTAAAACGAATTCTACTACCAATGATGCAGAGAGTAACTCAAAAAGATTATCAGCGTTCTTTTCATCAGGTTCTGTAAAATGTAATCACGTATTGCTACCTACTGCGTTAGTCAAAGCTGTATCAGAGACCGGAAAGCAATTTGTTATCAGAGCATTGTTAGATCAGGGGTCGCAAACTTCTTTCATATCTGAGGCGACCGTTCAATATTTAGGTCTCAAGAAAACATCAATAAAGGAATATGTGTCAGTTTTAGGTGGAGATATGAATATATCATCTGAAGCTATAGTTACTATTAATCTTCGTTCAATGGTCGATCCGAGCTACAAGATGTCAGTGAAGGCTTATGTGTTGAAATCAATCACTAGTTTTCTTCCAGATAAGAAACTAGATTCACTGGAATGGCTTGAATCACTAAACATTCAATTAGCAGATCCGAATTATCACACTCCTAATAAAATTGACATCTTATTAGGAGCTGAGGTTTATAGCAAAATAATTCTAAAAGATGTAATAAAGGCACCACATGAAACATCGGTAGTTCAATGCACATCATTGGGTTGGATTATCACTGGTGAGTTAAAGGCATCAATCAAGAATCAACGGTATTCAGAAACAAAAACCTTTCTCTGTAGAGAAGATGAGAATAAAACATCAAAAATATATTGTGAAGAACAATATAATCTAAATTTAACAAAACAACAGATGTTAAATGAAAGTAATTTTCACTCACCAAACGGCGTAATAATTTCAAAATATAAAGACATTGCATATAAGGAAACTTCTCTTGGCTGTGATATCGGTGAAAATAAAAAGATGAACTTTATAAAAAAACGATTCCAGGGACAAAAATTGTATGTATAAATAAATATAGTAGTGATCGATGAACATCACGATGTTGTAGAAAACTGAAACAAACATTAAATTACAGAATATCAGATATAATTAATGTACATAACATAAAATATATTGATTACTTACCACCAGAAGTATATTATTAGATGAATACTAAATCCAACAATATAATGTTAAACTGTTATTAATAAATTATTTGTTTCTGGGCAAAATAAAATTATAAAAATATATATGCAACTTTGGACAATGTTATGCGAGTAGTCATAGTAAAATTCAGCAATTTATAAGGTCAATTATTGTATTTCTGTATAAATCATAATTTTTTTATGTATTTAATATTGCCACGGTGGGCGGTTTTAGATATTAAAGGACAATTTTATGTCAAATATGTCCTTGGTGGGCGGAAATGTATAATTTCTATATAAATGTAACTGGCAGCCTACAAAAATGTGCGTTGCCATATTCGTAAAAAACATAATAAAAAAAGAAAGATAAAAAAAAAGAATATAATTCAAAATTATCAGAGACATTAACGCAACATTGTATTTTTATTTCATAACAATTAAATATCTATCAACCATCCCTCAAATCCTCGATTCAGGTTTAAACACATTCTGATTCTGAAGATGCTGATTCTGACTAATAGAGTTTTTGTTAACTGTCGATGTCATGGTAAATAAAACACTTGATATGCCCGCATTTCTTTGAATATAGAAATCAGTGGGTATCTCTACCTAATATTGTAAAATGTGTTTTGTTGAAGGAAATAACATCTCATATCTTAGTCCTCTGGAATGATAATGAATGTATGGTATCGCGGGTTCCAATGATGACGTGATGGTACCGTTTACTTATAAGTAGCATTTTCCATTCCAGTTACAGAAAAAATTAATAGTAGTAGTAGTAATAATAATTATTTGTTAACTTTTTATTATGCACAGAAAATATTTACAAAAAAGATCTTAATATAAACGTGCTAAATAAAAGGCCTTATTGCTCATTGCTTATAGCGAGAGTAGTGGACAACCTGAGTATTGGATTACTTTACCTCTCTAACCATTTTTTTAATACAGTGGACCAACGAGCTTGCGGCCATTTGATGGCAACATCAGGGGAATTGAAAGAAGTTGCCAGCCTTTTAAGAAGGAATAAGCTCTTTTCTTGAAGGTTTCAATATCGGATCGGTTCGGAAATACCATTGCTCGAAAGCAATTCCACAATGTGGTTGTATGTGGAAAAAGTTCCTGGAAGACCGTACTGTGGAGGACCGCCATTCATACAAATGTTTAGGATGCTATTTTAGCTTCGGGCGGGTGGTACGGTGGTGAACTCAGCAGCTGGTATTAATCCAAACAATTCCTCAGAACACTCACTGTGATAGGAAATGCACAGAGATACAATATGTCGCCGCAGAGCCAATGGGTCGAGTCTGTCATAAAGACGTAAAAATCTACCCCGTAAATATATATACCTATCTGTTTTAATATTTCAATAATAAAAAAAAATATTCCACCTAATTGCAAAGTTGACAATCTTCCGCAAACTGAATATTTTAGAAGCAACGTGGTGGAAGTGAGTGGAATATATTAAGGCGGGTTACACACATTCATACGTGCTCTTTTTTCCAGTAGTTTCTTTTTTTTCTCAATGATGATAAAGGGGTATACACATTGTTCGATCGAGAGTAGTCACCGCAAATCATGTACTTAAGTATACCATATATATACTAAATATTTCAATAATAAAAAAAAATTCAAATAATTTTATTTATTACCAATAAATTGTTATAGTGACAAATTAAGCGTAGGTCCTGTGTTAGACAGTTTTCATCAGTCTACTGTAAATGAAAATTTCTTAAGATTTTGTTGAGTCTTATTTAATATTTGATGATAATATTGATGTAATTAATATTTGTGGAAAAAAAAAAACTCATAAAATAAAGTTGTATTTTTGCTTTGTACAGCATGTATAAAGCAGCAGATACACTAAGTACACTTTAAATTTCCCAAAGAGGTTCTTCATCTGACTTGGCTACCCAAAATGGGATACCCTCAGGTAATTCCCCCGGGAACAGAAGAAAATGGGCGTGCTCGTGCTAACATGCGTCGTTTCTTTCTTATTTACAATTCTGAGTAGGAAGTTGATATAATTACAATGAATATTAAATAATATTTGTAACGAGAGTGTGGGTGTAATGTAGGCTGTATATCATGGTAATTGGGCTATTTGACATTTAGAAACTGATGTACATTCTTGTAGAACCTTTCAATTATTATTAGATATATTAATTGTTAATACAATTACAGACAAATTTTTCTTTCCTTCATGACACCTCTAATCATTTGGATCAATGTATTGTGTTGGGGATCGTACTCGCCGGAGATAATTTAAACTTATATGGACTGTATAAACTGGTATATTTAACTGTTACAAATCTTATTTATCTTATCTCGCCCCCGCTAGTAGTGTTCGCGCGAACAATTGCTTTATAAGATTCTCTATGCGATGCTGTTCTGGAAGACAAAGATGATGCTGCTATATCCTCAAATTTTTTTTTAGTGGATGATAAACGAATGGTGTACACGCTTGCGCTAACGGTTTACGCTGGCGGGGCACCAGTGGAGGATGATAAGATGAACATGAAGTCAGATCAGTTAGCCCAACGTGACAAATTCACCGGGAATTTATCACGATCGTTTCCAGGGGGAACCGCGTGGAGATCGATCTGACATGGTATATTGCTAGCAATGGGATCATTAGTGCACATTACTAACAATCCCCTCCTCCCTATATCCTCTAATTTTACTATCTTATCTTTACATCCAAACGACAGCTAATAATTCATGCAGACGACTTTTTGATGGCATCGTTGGTCTAGCGGTCTAGCGGCACACCGCTCTATTTTCGATGGTCGCGAGTTCGAATCCTTGCACGGTGCAAATATTTGTATTCATGAGTTGTTTGTATAGGTCTGGGTGTTTTCTATATATATTATACATGTGTTAAAAAAAAATAAGTATTTATATCAGTTAGTTGTCTGCTTATCGTAGGACTAAATGGTGGGTTTATTTATTTTATAATGAAAGAATTTTCTTAAAAATGAGCTAACCAAACAGTAATTTTTGTTTCTACAATAAATTTTTTTTCAATGTCACTGACAGTCATGACCTTATAGACAGATGATCAACAACTCATATGAACTTAAAGAGTGATTATATATAAATATTTAATGTGATAGGTTTGTACGTCCGTTCATTACGTCACGGACGTTTAAGATCCTTTGTTTACGGTGTAGTCCATAAATTGTTTATAGCGGTTCTAAACCCATTTTGAAAGCATTTTAAGTTTAATACACCAAAACGTTATGGCAGTGGAAGTTAACATTTTTGCGTTAGGATTTAATCGTTTTTATGACCGTTCAGATCTTAGATTCAGATGTTTCTTCTACGGTTTAGATGTTACTTAAATACACATAGAGTAACAGGTTTGTTGGTTCTCCTCTCTCTTTCTCCCTCTCTTCTACCAATTGTTACTTAGAAAATAGATCTAAAGGACTTGGAGTAAAGATACAGTTGAAGGGAACCTGTAATTTCATAAACACTATGAAGAAATAATAAAAAAACAAAAACTTTACTTTCGAAGATTGCGGGTTCAATTCCTCGCACATACATAGGTACGTATATTTAGTATGAATTTACAAAAAAAAGTATCAATGTATTTGTATCAGTTGTCTAGTACCCATAATACAAGCTCTGCTTAGCTTGGGAATAGATTGCGCTGTGTGTCCTGAAATATTATTATTATTACGGTTTATTTTACTGAAATATGAACTAATAGCGGGATTTGGTAGATCACCTATGGACAATAACACAACAGCAGCAGACTTCGGACTGCGCAGACGATATACTTGCACCGCCTATTTCAGATGTTTTTCTGCAGCTGAAATAGCTGAGAGGTACTTTTTTTTTTACTGCGTTGTGGCAAACAAGCATATGGCTCAACTGATGGTAAACGGTTACCGTAGCCTATAGACGCCTGAAACAACAGTGGTATCACGTACGCGCTGCCAACTTAAGAAATATTAAATATCTTTTTGAAAAATCCCACGCTGTAGTCTCTCGAGAAAACCTCGGCAGGTAGTTCATTCCACAATCTAAGTGTATGCGGGAGGAAGCTCCTCTGAAACCGCACTGTCCGAGACTACATACTTATTATTATCCACTTAATAATATTAGGACAGACTAATTTCATACCGACGCATTTAGCAATCGTATGACTATTTTATATTTTGTACAAATTCTACCGATAAAAGTACATGAAGAGTGAAGCTAGCAACACTCAATTACATTCTAGTCTTACAATGAATACCAGTTAATTACATAGCTAGCAAGTAGCTTTGATCGATGACAGGTCACCGGGTGCCTCCCTACAAAGGGACTTCGATCGACGTACGGCCGTATCAATAAGTTTCCCTTAACTGCTATGTAGCTACTATATAGGGCTGTCAACTGTATGAGAATCCTCATATGGGTTCAATATTTATGTTTTTTTTCTTTTTATTACTTGCTTGCATGACAGTAAGAGTAAGCAGTAAGAACCGTCGTTACACTTGCAGAAACAGTAATATAGTCATTGCATCGTCTTGTAACTGCTGTTGTACCCTCATGCATGTGGATTTGCTAGTAATGAGGATAAATCGTATAGGGCAGTGGGGTTAAC